CAACTTTAATTTTGAAAATCAAAACCCCAATGGACCAGACCTATTGATTGCTGCAGATGATCTTTTTCGGTTTTGAAAATAATGAAGCTCAATTTTGGAAACCAAAGTGCAACCGGACTTTGACCTGAAGCTTTATTTCCCAATGGACCGGTGCTGCAAAGAGTTAGGTTTTGAAAAGCTCAATGGGCCGAAAATCAACCAGACTTTGGACTGCTGCTGGAGATTTAATTTTGAAAAGCTCAATGAGCCGAAAATCAAATGGACTTTGGACTGTACTGCAGATTTTAGATTATCAAATGAAAATAAATTGGGCCTCCTATGTTGGGCTAGAGAAGAACAAAAAACAAATTCAAATGTGGAGATTGTTACTTGGGGCTCAAGACAAATCCAATGGCTCATATTCATTGAAGATTACTATAAATAGGGGTAGAGAGTGAGGGGTTAAGGGTGTGAAAATTTTGTAAACTCCTTTTGAAGAGGAGGGCTACTCTTAATTGAGAAGGCCTTACAAAAAAAATTGTAACTTTAGTTGTAATTAATAATAATAATTTTTTCCTCTTTAAATTTGTTCTTTCTCCTCTTGTTGAATGATGAGGATGGAGATGAAGAGCAATTTGAAGGTTTGCATTTCTTTTCTCTTTTATTTCTTTTTAGTAATTTCTTTATTATTGCTTATTAGTTAGATTTAAATTCATGCTTGTAGTGTAGATTTAATTTCTTGTCTTTTTATTTCTTTTTGCACTTTAATTTGTAGAGTAGATTTATTTTCTTGTATATAATTTTTGCAATTTATTTTGTAGTTTAGATTTTTATTTTCTTTGTAGTTAGATTTATTTCTTGTTCATAGTTTAGATTTTTTTCTTTTTATTTTTTTAATTAGTTCATTTTCTTCTTGCTTTTATTTCTTAAGATGTGAATTTAATTCTTATAAGAATCTTAGAATTGTATGAAACTAGTCTAATTTCCTTTATATTGTATGAATTATTCTCTTGTACTTAAAATTTTCATGTTTAGGATAATCAACTAGAGAACTAATCGGTAGAAGAAGAATTTGATAATCTATGCTTTCCTTAAATGGTTTGATATGTTATGCTTATGAATTCTAGGATTATTATCATGTTGTTGTTCTTATCATGAATAGTAATTTTAACTTAGATGATAATTTGATAGGTTACACTTTTCTTAAATGGTTTGATAATCTATGCTTAATAAATCTAAGTTGAAATATGATAAAAAGAGAATAGTTTGTATTTTGTAATTGAAATTGGTTAGTGGATTATATTCTAGATTTCTTACCTCTTTTGAATCCTCCATCTTAACTTTCTTAAATTTTCTTTTCATTCTTGGTTTATTTCTTGATTTTATTCATTCTTCTTTCTTGCCTTGTGATTTTATTTATTCTTTGATTCTTTCTTCTCTAAAATTCAATTTATTATCTTTTGCATATATTCACAACAATCACTCATCACATTCACACTTATTCTTTATTCCTAATTGTCACGCACAAAACATAAGAACCATTTCTAATAATCTCTTAAAATCACATTCCTCGTGGGATCGATATCTTTTTATACTATAACTTAATAAATTGTGCACTTGCAATTTTGGTACATAATTATGCCGCATCATGTATCTACAAATATTGACTTGCTCTCCACTAAGTCAAAGGCATTTGTCTTGTACATGTCCTTGTACATCACATTCTCGTTGAATATCACATCTTTGTTGTGGATCACTTTCTTGTTTTCGTTATCCCAAATACGGTAGCCAAACTCATCTTCACCATAGCCGATGAAAGTGTATTTCTTAAACTTAGGATCAAGCTTATTCCTGCCTTGATCGCTGATGTGAACATAGGCTACACAACTAAAAACTCTCAGATGTGATAGTTTTACCTCCTTTTTGCACCATACCTCCTCTAGTATTCTGTGCTCCAATGGAACCGATGGACCTCGGTTGATCAAGTAAGCTGGTGTGTTGACTACTTCTGCCCAGAACTACTTCGGTAGACCTGATTATATATGGATGCTTTCGTCTCTCTCTGTCAACATTCGTTCATCCGCTCAGCTATACTATTATGCTGAGGGGTGTCGGACACGGTTCTCTCCATTCTGATCCCGTGCTCATAATAGAACTTCTTAAATTTTGTGTCTTCATACTCACCACCATTGTCACTCGTGAGCTTCTTTATTCTCAAACATGTCTCATTCTCGATCATAGCTTTCCATCTCCTGAAAGCTTCAAACACTTCTGACTTGTGCTTCAGAAAGTAGACCCACACTTTTCGAGAGTGATCATCAATAAAAGTCATGAAGTAGTGTTTCCCACCAATAGATGCGGTGGTGGTTGGTCCCCAAACATCTGAGTGAACGAGCTCTAGCTTCTCCTTCTTTGGGGTTCTGCCACTTGTCTGAAAACTAACTCTCTTCTGCTTTCCAAGTATACAATCTTCACATATGTCTATCTCTATTGACTCTAGACCTGGGAGCTTTCCCTTTGTGTGCATAATCTTCATCTCCTTCTCACTCATATGACCAAGTCTCTGGTGCCATAAATTTAAAGCATCATTGCCTGCTGTAACTGAGATCAAACAGCATGCACCTATTGTCATATATAGCGTATCAGTCTTCTTGTCTCGAGCAATCGTCATTGCGCCTTTTGAGATCTTCCAATCATCTCTATGAAAGGTCGTAGTGTAGCCTTCACCAGCCAGCTGTCCTACTGAGATTAAGTTCTTTCTCAGGTAGGGAATATGCCTAACATCCTTCAGCTCTTATGCTATCTCGTTCAACTTAATTTTCACTACACCTTTGCCTATAATTGCACACGGTTGATCATCACCAAGATATACATATCCAAGATTATCGGGGACATAACTCTTGAAGAATTCTTTTTGAGAAGTAGCATGGAACGATGCTCCTGAATCTAACACCTAAGATTCCTCTTTGCTTTCTAAAGAAAATATCAATGCATCGTCTCCTCCTAGGGTGGAAATAACAGTCACCTCTTCCTTCGTCTCCTTCTCCTTCTGTGCACTTTTGCACTGATTCTTGTAATGCCCCATCTTCCCACAATTCCAACACTCGATGGTCTTCAAGATGTTGCTTGGATTCCTGGACTTGGACCTCCTATCCTTTGATCTACCTCTGTAGTTTGATTTACCTCATTTGTTTCCTCTGGTTGAATTTCTATCTCTTGATTCTATATGTAATACTAAAGAGGTTGTAGCTTCACCCGGCTCTCTCCGTTGGATCTTCTTACTGAGAACCAGATCACGAACGTCATCGAACTTTAACTTGTTGCTTCCGGACGAGCTACTCATAGTCATAACTCACAACCATGACTGTAGCGTTCTAACTTTCTGGTAGGGAAGACAAAAGTATCAACGCTTGAACTTATTCATCAAACTCAATTTTAACTGAACTCAATTGTGTTGTGACCGTATTGAGTTCATTTAGGTGTTGTGCTACTGATGCGTCTTTCGTCATTTTTAGATTGAATAATCGCCTCATCAAATAAACTTTATTTGTGCATGATGTCTTCTCATACATATTTGAGAGTGCTGTCATAAGACCCGTCATGGTCTTCTCCTTCGCTATGTTGAACGTAACATTATGAGTTAGTGTCAATCTAATAACTCTGGTAGCTTATCTGTCTAGAAGGTTCCACTCATCTTCCTTCATAGACTCTGGCTTCTTCCCTGAAAGGGGTTGATACAGATTCTTTTGGTATAGATAATCCTCCATATGCATCTTCCAAAATCCAAAATATGTTCCATCAAACTTCTCTAATCTCATATTTCCTTCATCTGCGGCCATGGTTCCCACTTGAATCCAACTCCCTCTAGATCGTTTCAGGCTGTGATACCAGTTGTTGGGAATTATGGGGGCTATGCTAAACCCCTAAAAATAAGAAAGCATAATAGAGAAAAGTACACTAAATTTTACGAGGTTCGGCAAACTTACCTACGTCCTAGGGAGACACACAGTAAATTTCTTTATTAATCTAAAGAAAAATTATAAAGCTTAGAGCAGATCTCAAACTGAGATCTCTCAATAAATGCATATCTTCATTGTAGCTACAGTGAAGATTCCCCTCTTAAATCCCCCTTCAAGATCACTGAGTGCTGGAGAAAAGAGAAGAGCAGAAAAAAATCGTCGTCGCTGCAAGGAGTTGAGAAATCATGAGAAGGAGAGAAGAAGCCCTAGATCTCATGCTCTGGGTTCCCTTTTATAAGGGAACCCTAGCGACAGGCTGGTGACATGCTGTCGTTCGCCTGCAAAGTGAACCCTAGCGACAGGCTGGTGACATGCTGTCATTCGTCTGCATGCGCTCGAGCTCGCCTGCACCTTAACCTCGCCTGAAGAACGTTCGCGCTCGACCTCGCCTAAAGCACGAGCGCTCGATCTCGCCTGGATCTCGCCCGCTCGAGCTCGCCTGCAGCACTCAACATCGCCTGCATAGTCTCGACCTCGCCTGATCTGCGTTGTCGACCTCACCTAAAGTCGCCTCGAGCTCGCCCTCACCTGGACCGCCTGCGTCAAGGTTTGGATCTACACCCAAAACCAACAAGAGAGTGAGTGATCATTGGTTAGGTTATTTTGAGAGTTATTTAAGAGATTGTAATCCGTTATTTCTCCTCCACATAGTGAAATCTCTCCATCCTCTCCTCGGCGACGTAGGCAATTGCCGAACCACGTAAATCTCTGTGCTTGTGTGTGATTTTGGTCGTTATTTTTTGAATTGCACTCGTGTTTTGTTTGGTTCTTCACTCATCGCTCGCTAACTCGTTTGGTTCGCGAGCACGCTTCCGCACGGCGCGCGACAAGGAGTATGATAGTTTTCTGAAATTTAGTCAAAGTTAAAATCATAAAGGTATTTTTATCCACCCTGCATATAAAAACTATTTTTATCCACCCGGCATATAAAAACTATCTTTACGCATTCTCTCCAAAGGAACAGGATGAAGATAATACAGTCAAAAACCCAAAAATAAAAATAAAAATAAAAAAGGGGGAAAAGTCTCCTAGCTCTCTAATTTTAAGCTACCTATCCATCTTTCCCGCCTTTTTTGCAGGCGCACTCCATTCATCACTTCCAACTTCAAACATTTATTAACAACTAAACCTCCCCATCAAATGATGATCTGATCTATACTCTAGACCCCTATCAATTCTCCCAACCACAGCATTCTTCAAAGTGACCCTTGCCTCTTTCCCAATTCCACTCAAACTAGACCTTGAATCCCCATTCTCATTGAAAGAAACCCTCCCCTTCATCATAATTGAAGGCGACAGCTCCGACCTCTGCTTCGGCGCGCTCGGTGACCGGGCTTTAGCATCAGAGCTCCGGGTGCTCGCCATGTAGCTCGGCCAATGCGGGCTGCTGCATACTGAGCTCGAGATTCTCGGGGTGCTCGTCGCGGTTATCGACAGCGATGAGCTTTCGTGAAGATATCGGCATCTGGGTATTTGAATTTGTAGAGAGGAGAAATTGGGGTTCATTTCGATGAAGTCCGAGCTCCCCATTTCCTGCAAACATATCAGTTAGAGAATTTATATGCATACCGAATAGATTGAGTTATGGGTTTATGAAGTCAGAGTTTGAGTAGTACCACCGTCCGAAATTTTCCATCATCATAGAGAAAGGCTGGACATTTCTCAGGTTTCATTGTGGCCTGAGCTCGAATGAGAGCCTGCATACTTTGAAGAACTAAAGCTGTTCGTTTTCTCACAAGAGAGCCTTTAACTAAAGCCTGCAGCTTCACTAATCCTCTGAGAGCTCTAAGAGCTTTCTTTGCCTGCAAAAACAGAGTACCGCATAAGAAAAATTGATTTTCCCCCGCTTCTTCCCCAAAACAGAGCAAAATTGGGTATCACCAAGTATCCTCTAAATGCTGACTGAATTCTGATTGCAGCCCAGTTCTCTATCAAACTACTGCTTCTCTTGCACCGCATTTTCACCACCGCAACCGCCGCCTGCATTGCTTGCTTGCTCTGCTCATCATTACTCTGCTCAGAACTTGGCCATTTTGATTTCTCTTTTTCTTTCTCCTTAACGCAACACAAGTTAAAAAGAAACCGACCCATTAAAGAACGGAGGAGAATGAGAGCAAGCAAAAGAGAGAAAGAGGTGTAAAGGCAAAGGAAGAGCGAAGCTAAAGCGGTGGATTCCGCTGCGTTTGGGAAATGGGCGATGATTTGGGTCGGTAGATTAAATTAAGGGATCGATATCAGAGTTCAGCTGACATTTGGAGAGCTAGAAATAGAACAGCTAAGAGAGAGAGAGAGAGATGAGAAGAGGACCACTGACTTTTGAGATTGAGGAGATTAAAGATTGTGAGGACGTACTAATCTTTGGACTTTTTTGGTGGTGTAATGATGGTAAGGATTTGTTAAGTCGAAAGGATTTTGACAGAGAGAGAGCAAAAGAAAGAGGGGAAGTGAATGAAGTCAACTTGTGACACTTAGATTTTAGGTGACGTCATTTTGGGTAAAGGAGAATATGAGATAGGAAAATGATATAAGCACACCATCAACCACACCATCAACCATACATCCTCTTCTGCTACAGTACAGCGGGCCCCGTATGAAATTTTTTAAAAAATTTAATACGGGGTCCGCTGCATTGTAGCAGGTGATACGAGTTGCCGTGCGAACACCTTTGATCGTGGAATTATTGTTTGTGAAAAATTTATAGTAAAAAGACAGTGAAAGAAAATGAACTTGTATTCTCTCAAAATTGATTACAATTTGGATTTTCTGATTACAAAAGAGAAGAGAATGATCTGGATTCTCCCCTTTGTTTAAAACTGGGTTCTTCACGGTGGCGATGGAGTGTCTCCCTCGAATGTTCGTGTCGAGTTTGCTCTCCGTTGACGATCCGACGTTTTGCTTCACTGGAACGATGTCTTCTCCTCACGGTTTGACGTTATGGAGAACTTGCAAAGCAAGTTTTAGAACTCTGAATGAGTTTAGAAGAACTCTGCGAAAGAGTTGATTTGAACCGAAAGTCGGTTAATAAGCCAATGCTAGAAGAAAGCTCCGTTGTCGAAGTTGAAGATGATCTTCGTTGGAGGATGATGTCGATCTCCTCAAAAGCTCGCCCAAGGATCTCTCCTGTTGCTGCCAAACCGAAGGGTCAATCCGAGCCAATAAGTTCTAACCCAGACCGAACCCCTGAACTGAATTGATTTTTAGTTTTTTATAGAGGATTAAGGGGTGTAACTACCCCTTAAATCGCTCCTAAGTGGGGTGTAACCGCCCACAAATCGTGGAAAACAGTTCTGAAACTGTTGAAGGGTTTAAAGGGTGTAATCCCCCCTAAAATCTCTCCATAATGGGGTGTAACCGACCCCATTAAGTGGAGATACGGTTTTAAAACCGTTCAGGTTCTGTTTGAACCACTCAAACGGAAAAAACGCAGATCTGACCCCAGCGTTTTGATGTTGCAACGCGGGTTTGACCCCAGCGTTTTGATGCTGCAACGCGGGTCTGACCCCAGGGTTTTGATGTTGCAACACGGGTCCGACCCTAACATTTTGATGCTGCAACGCGGGTCCGACTCCAGCGTTTCAATATTGACACACGGGGAGAACCTCCGTGTTTTGGTGTTGCAACGCAGGTTCGACCCCTGCGTTTTGTTATTGACACACGGGGAGGACCTCCGCGTTTTGTTCTGGGAGTTTGGAACGCGGTCACAAGCTATGCGTTTTGAATCTGGGACGTATAGATGAGCTCCGCGTATGAATTTGAAGAGACCGTCGATTTGTAGTCTCTTTTGCTAGAGCGTTGCAAAGATCATCATCTTGTAATCTTCATCTTGGCTCCTTGAAAATATGAAAATTTTTAAATTATAACCTTCCGAAAGTCGTCAGATTGTAACCTCTATCATCGGTGTTTGATGGGGATCAGCTATCTATTATGATTTTTAGACAGCCTACAATTATCAAAGGTGGGTTGAGGAGAAAACAATAAGAACACAAGAATAACTCAGGTTTTGGGCAAAGAAAAATACATTTTCTAGATTATGAGTATGCACTTTACAATCTCTAACAATCTCACTCTAGAATTGAAGAACAAGCTCTCCAAATCTCAATTACAATCTAATCTCTCTTGATTAAACTCTCTGATTGTTTTAAACCCTAAAACAATCTCTTATATAGGTGTACAAACGAGGGTGACAAAGTGGTAAGTAACCAAGCACAACCCAAACAGGAAAATGCGTAAATAGAGTCCTAAACGAATCTGAAAAACTCCGATGAGTCGACTCATGAACAGTTATGAGTCGACTCATGACCTCATATGAGTCGACTCGTAACTGATGAGTCGACTGGTCAGAAATTTTTGCTAACAGGGCTTGATTTCTTGAGTCGACTCAAAACTGTATATGAGTCGACTCATGACTGATGAGTCTTGATTTCTTGAGTCGACTCAAAACTGTATATGAGTCGACTCATGACTGATGAGTCGACTCATAAAATAATGAGTCGACTGGTCAGAGCCAAACTGCGAACTAGGCTTGGTTTCGTGAGTCGACTCATGACAGGCGTGAGGCGACTCAACCTGATGAGTCGACTCATGTACATGTATGAGTCGACTCACAGGTTAAAATCTGGATACTTTTGTAGGCATATAAAATTGCTTATAGGTCCCTTAGCTCAGCTCGGCACGAACCGACAAACCAACGAGGCGACGAGATCGACGAATCGCATGCAAGCGACGGAATGCACCCATACGCGTTCGGAATCAAGCCAAGTGTTCGAAGAGTCAACGAGTCATCCAACCGAGAGCGGACTCGAACGAATCACGATCGAATCAAGATCGGTTTCGGACTCGAACTCAAAAGTGGGGTTACTGCCAAATCAGGAATCCGACTTACTGCCAAATCAGGAATCAAATCAGAGTCTGGATCAACCGAATCACGGACAGAACCAAAGGCGGAAAACACCAAAACCACCACCTAGAGGGGCTCGGCCGAAGCCGAGCCAACTTCAGGTGGCTCGGCCCAAGCCGAGCCACCTCAAGGTGGCTCGGCCCAAGCCGAGCCACCTCCAGCACCTTGAGCTGGCCACACGTGCACACGGGCACGGGCACAGTAACGAGAGCCTATAAATAGGCCAAGGGGTTCTTCATTTCAAAAGGTTGGAAATTTTGGAGAGAGGCGAAGCCCTGCTGGATTGGAGACTCGGAACTTAAAAAAGATTGAAACTTTGGGACTTCGGGGACTCACTCCTTCAGATCTGGTGCTCGGCGATCATCAACGTCAAATAAGGCAGGTGTTCGAGAGGATCAGATCTCAGATCTACGCAGGCATACTCCGGATCTAAGCTTGGTCTTAGATCCCGAGACTTGGACGATTGTTTCCTTGGTGAAACAATCCTCCCCGGCTATTATTTCCTTGGTGAAATAATACCCGTCGTACTGCGTAGATCCGACCGGATCTAGATCTCGCGGTGGTCCACGGCAAACAACCCCGGCGCAGGCAAAGAACCCACAAAGCGAGCGACCGCAAAACAGGAGCTCGTGATTCGTTCGACAAACAAGGAAACAAAGTTGTAATTTTCATTTCTTTTCAAATTTGATTTTCGTTGTAACCGGATCTTATAAAAAGACCGGATCTTTTGTAACTCAAAAAGTTGTAACTCAAGATGACAATGGAATCAATAACAAAGAAAGACACGAATTTTCCAGCGAACAAAATCAAATGCTGAGTAGGTGAACCCATCCTATTAAACGGCGTGAAGTTAATTAGATTGAACTTCGCCGGATATGGGATCGATTCCCACTCTCTTGGGTATGGACAGGGAATGCTCGTTTTCTTCATCTCTTGAGCGGAAATCAATGTATTGATTTTGCTCTCGAGATTTTTAAATTTCAGATTTTCATCTGTGTTTTCACTAGCATTCTCGTTACCACCCCCTGCATTGACGGGAGGATTATTTGCATTATGAGTCTCGTTTGCATTTGTGTCCTCATCTTCCAGATTAACCTGGTTACGACGACTTGGCTCGCCTTGCTGGTTCGTCAATGCTTGGATTTGTTGGTCATGCATTTCTCTCATGTTTTGCATGGCCATCTGCATTTCGAACCTGAAGGCCTCCTGTTGTTTAGCCATGGCCTCTTCAAGCATCTTGGCCACTTGTTCCGCACTTATCATAAGTGCCTCGCGGGGTTGTCCCTCGCTGGATACCGTATTATCTGATGCAACCGCGGAGCCAGCATCAGATTCTTCATCTTCTGAAGG